ATGTGAAAGATACTAAGCTCCTCTTCTGACTCTTGCTTGTGATTTCTTAAAGGTACTATACAATGGGTCTTTGTAGGATGCTATTCATTAGAAACAAATTCTGTCCTGGAATTTTCTTTCTTCCTATCTGTATTTAGAGATTTCATATGTCCTATTTAAATTATAAAGCAGATTAACAAAACCAAACCCCTCAACTCTTATATCCAGCACTTTCGGGTATCGTTCTATATCGTGGCCTTTCTTTCAAACTTGAATTTGTTCAGAAATGGATTTCTCTGAATAAAGCATGACCATAAAGACTGATTCTTTTAAGCTTATGTGTGTCTGCTGTCAAGAAAGCAAGTGTATTGCAGTCATAAATTTACCTTGTAACACTTAAAAAGAAAAAAAGAGGGTATTTTGGCATTATGCAATAATTTGTCTTTTGGCTTACTAGCATTGTATCAAACTAAGTATAACAGTACATATGTATGCTGTTAAGTTTTCTAATGCAAGACTGTCGATATGGCTGTGACAACCCATGTGTTCTTCCCTCCCCTATTTCTTGATGTTAGATAATAACTAGAATTACACCAAGCAGGCTCTCCTCCTTCCATGAGAGCTTTTTGGGATTTATTATCCCATTGTGTTCTTCACTCAGCATGTTCCTTTCAGCTTGTGACCTTTTTTCTGTCCCCAACAGTTTAAAAATTGTGGCAAAACTTTATGAATCATTCTATCATGAGAGATTAGCTGTGTATTATCTTGCCTTTTACAGACTCCACAGAGAACGTATTGATGTGAGGAAAGGTGTTTGAAAACAGGGATGCTTGAACTGTGCACTACAGCACACACAGGTCCCCTGTCATACTGTCAGTGCCAGAAAAAAATATTCTGAAGTCTCTCACTGCTAGTGGAGAACAGAAATTTTACCAAGCAGGAGGGTTTGAACCCATCTTGATACAAGTCAATGTGAAAACTAAATTTATTCTTGTACATCCACACCAATAACCACCTTCCCTGTTGAGGTCCGCTAGCCTGCCTTTCTTGGTTTTTTGGGGTGTTTTTGTGGTGTGGTTTTTTTTTTGTTTCCCACTACCACAATTTCTGAAGCTGCAAGCTATTCTTTATGGAGACTTTGGTATCTGCTTTGGTCCAGGTGCTATGCATTATCTTTTTTTAAGCCAAAGTAATAATTGATTTGCCTCTAAGTATTTGCCTCTATAAAGGGAAGAATAGAATTTCATCAGGTGCACAGGGGGACTAGTGACTAGAAAATTAAGCCACTCTTGCTGAGCACAGATGTGTTGGGGGGTGGGGCCTGGCAATCCACCAAGGCAACATCCTGGCAAACTAATTACAGCAGCTGAAATGTCTCAGTGCATGGCACAGTAACAAGCAGTAACACCCATTTGGGTGGGCTGGCTGCAGCTAAACCTTACACTCTTGCTGGTGTTCTCTCCCTCATTCTGAGTCCCTTGCCTGTATTTAATCCTGCTGTAGTTTAAACATCTGTCTATCTGAAATGTGTGAAATGTCCCTACTACCCATGCTAAGCTATTTGCTCACCTGCTTTGCTTAGAAAGGCAGCTTTCAAATAAATAATGATGCAGTATTAGAGAGGAAAGCATATTGCATTAATAGAACAGGGGTGAGGTGATGATTCATCAGACTAAATGGTTCTTGGTATCATGATCATGAGGAGAGAGAATTGGATAAAGTCATCTTCATTTCATGTGTTGGATGTGTTAGCAAAGTTGTGATCCCTGTTGCTGGCAAGCTAAGAATTGTATATATCCTATTTCATTTAGCATGCCGGCCTCTGCCTCATTTGCCATTCTTGCTTCTTTTCAGACAATAAGCTCTTTGTGGCCAGAAACTGTCATTGTTAGGTATTTGTATAGTGCCTGGCACAATCAGAACTAAACCTAATTTGGAGTTTTCTGTTATTGCAATGAAAATGCTTTAATTTTTAATTAAATTCTACTGAAAACAGCAACATTTAAGGGTGAGGTAGAGGCATCAAAATGATACGTAATGTTGTTTTCCATATAAGAAGGGTAGCACTGCCCATTACCAAACTTACCTGATATGTCCCACTGTAAGACCTTGGTTTAAATTGCTTGTAATGTTCTGAAACTATCCATGTGGACTCATGTTTTCAGTGCTTAATCTTCAGTTTTCAGAACACTTCAGGCAAGGTGAGGTGTTCCAACCAAGACTAGATAAAAAAAAAAAAAATATTCTGTGCATTTTAGTATCTGCAGAACTTTTATTTTAAATCTCTGGATCTCCCATGCTTTGGAATAGCAATTTGGAATTTAAAATTTTGTCCAAGCTTGATTGCACAGTAACTATCTGAAAGCTTTGGGTGAAACATACTCAGTAGCACCTCCTAGAGCTTCTCAGTTTCTTGCAGGTTCCCTCCACACCAAGGATGTGAAGCTGAATTTCTTTGTGTTCACACCTCTAGAGTATTGAGGCTTGAGACCCCATTCTCCTATGTTATCAGTGACCTGGTATGGGTTGGGTTGGGAGCCTGTCTGACTTGAATGCAGAATGAGTGGGAATTCTGCCAAGGTGTGGAGAACAGCTAGGACAAGGAAGTTGTGAAATTTGGACCTGGACATAACTTGGGAGAGGACACTGAGAAACATTTGGGTGAAAGGACAGAAATGGAAGGAATGGCTGTGTGGTAAATGTGGTCCAATGAGGAGCCCACATTCTGGACTGGGTAAAGAAAGAGGTTGGCAAAAGGAGTGGGCTTTGCTGGGGAAATAAAACTAGAACCACTTGGATATAGGGCATGTGAGCAACTGGAAGAGGAACTAAACAAAAGTGTGGGAAAACAGATCAAATAACTACTCCAATGGAAATTTCCAGGCCTGAAATGGTGTGGCTCAGGGGCCAGAAGTAGTGGGGAGGCCAGTGCTGGAAGTCTGCAAGAATGAAACTGGACTGAGCAGAATAAGGAGCCTGAAACATGGAAGCTGGGACTGACTAGGTGAGAATAATGACACCCAGACAAGAAGCAAGAATGGGAAAGGATAGAGCTGAGAAGGGATGAGACAAAAGCACTTGCTTTTGGAGAAGGGGGCAGAAGACCTACTGCATAACCACTATAACTTAATCCTGTCCGGAACTTGAAGTAGGAGTTAAGATTTCTGAACTTACAAAATGCTTAGATGCCTTGTACTACTAAACCATAGGAGTGGCAACATACTGTGTTGCAAGTTGCAATGTTAGTTCATGTTCCAGAGCTCAGTTGGAGGATGCAAAGTCTGCAGTCCTGCACAAGTCTATTGTAGGTATGAGTGTAGCATATTGAAATGAAGCTGGTATGTACTCGTTTGAGTAATTACATACAAATTCTGGTAAAAGAGCATTGTTAAGATCTCAAAGTGGGAATTCACAAGCTATGTTTGTCACACTTAAGTGACTTAATAAGCATCACTTTTGAGATCTGGAGCAGATGCAGGGCTGGTTGTTAGACTCTTCTTTCTGTCTGTGTCCTATGTCTCATTGGCTATATGCCTTCCAGTTGCCGCAGAAGCAAGCAGGGGCAATACAGATAAGTCTTCCTTGCCATATGACCTTAATCTTGGTGCAGAACCAGGTCTGTTCTGTCCTCCTTAAAAGCACCATGTGATTATGTAATTAAAGGCAGTAATAAACTTAATTCTGGCAATTTACACTGCTGTAGTAGATACCATTATGTTACGTATTTAGGCTCTCTTAAACAAACCAACAGGTAGTGTCTGCTTGCAGAGTTTGATCTTTCAAGAAGATAAGCAACACAAGAAGAATGCTTAGAAAAGAAACAATGGAATACATTTTATATGCTTAAAAATGCACAGATAATTATTTTTTTTTTAGAGCTTGATATAGCAAACATACAACTAGCATGATTTTAGGCTATCATTAACTAGTGTATTTACTTGTGGAAGTTGTTGGGTGAGAAGTTTTTCATGTGTGGTAGAGTTTGGTTTTGAATGTTTTATCCAAGGTACATATGCGGTTGGGTTGGGCCTGTATGTATGCATAGAGAGGGGTAGAGAGAGGACAGATGCATATGGCTGTCTTAGTAACACAGCTCATGATGACTGGGCAGATGCTCTGGTCTCTGCTCAGGGTAGTACGAGCTTCTAGCTTCTGATTAGTGCATGTAAAATTAATTTTTCCCTTGACAGGAACATGATGTTGCTTTCTTACTTTGAGATTTTTGCCCCATCTTTGTCCTTTTCCTCCTTTGTTCGCATGTGAATGGAAGGGTTGTAGTTTTAATGCTGGTACTTGAATTCATCTCAAGCATGGTGGCTGTTGGTGTCATCTCTGCCACTGCTTTATGCAACTAGCACAGTATTTTTCATCTAAAGATTTCCCTTCTCTTAGCAGTATTACTTTACTTAGTATATACTCTATCCAGTTTATACTCTATCCAGTTTACGTAGTAACACCTTTTGCTCTTTTCTTGTTTGTAATTGTTTCTGATGTCTTTTTTTTTTTTTAATTTTTTTTTATGTCTTTTTTTTTTTTTAATTTTTTTTTATGTCTTTTTTTTTTTTTAATTTTTTTTTATGTCTTTTTTTTTTTTTAATTTTTTTTTATGTCTTTTTTTTTTTTTAATTTTTTTTTATGTCTTTTTTTTTTTTTAATTTTTTTTTATGTCTTTTTTTTTTTTTAATTTTTTTTTATGTCTTTTTTTTTTTTTAATTTTTTTTTATGTCTTTTTTTTTTTTTAATTTTTTTTTATGTCTTTTTTTTTTTTTAATTTTTTTTTATGTCTTTTTTTTTTTTTAATTTTTTTTTATGTCTTTTTTTTTTTTTAATTTTTTTTTATGTCTTTTTTTTTTTTTAATTTTTTTTTATGTCTTTTTTTTTTTTTAATTTTTTTTTATGTCTTTTTTTTTTTTTAATTTTTTTTTATGTCTTTTTTTTTTTTTAATTTTTTTTTATGTCTTTTTTTTTTTTTAATTTTTTTTTATGTCTTTTTTTTTTTTTTTTTTTTTTTGCCTCTTTAGTTAACAAACCTGAACTTGGCAAGTGGAACTATAAGCAAGGGAAATGCAGCTGCTACAGAGAGCTACCGGTCACTGCTCAACAAAAGAGGGCCATTGTGGGCTGTTCAGTCAGACACTCATATAGCTGATAAAAGATCTGTCTCTTCAGCAGTCAGGTAAGTTAAAATTGCTGCTCCAGCCTGTTGAAGAAGAATGCAATGCACTCAGGAGCTCATTTGTAATTTGTGTTTGGCTTCTTGCTCAGGAGATAACATCTAAGGGCCTAGTACTGGTTCTTCTCAGGAGCAGCCTAGAAACTAGACCTATGAAAATAGAGATATGTTACCAGAGCTGGCAGGTTCATGATGAAATAAGGGCATGGGTGAACATGTAGAATGAAAGGGAAATGCCTGTTTCTCTTTGATCATTTCTCATCCCTTCATCTGTAAGTATAGGTTTGTTGATGTTGAGACATATATGCAGAATGCAACACCTGATACTGCAGAAATCTTCACTAAGGCCTCATCTTCATGCTTTTTCCTTGAATATTGAGTTTAAATTGTTCAAAGATAGAGCAGCATCTTGCAGCGTTTATAAAAGTTTCTTTTTCAGATGGCTTCTTTGTGTTCTTTAACTTCAGACATTGGAATTTATATTTATGGCTGATATACTCGTGGGACTCAGGGCAGAGGACTGATTCTGCAGTAAAACCATTCTTCCTGGGATTGAAAGAGCAACAAGATTTACCCCAAGGATTCTGGATCTTGGAAGCTTGGAGTAAGGCAAGCTTGCTGCAGTAGACTAGGCTGAATACAGGCCTAAAACTGCTGGAAATTTGAGTTCTTCCTTGCCACTTCAGTAAATATTATTTATTCCTTTGCCTAAGTCTTCATTTCTGTCTTTTAAAATAGAATAATGAGGCAAAGCTTCTCCAGCACATGCGTTTAGGACTGGAAAGCATTGTATACATGAAAATACTGATTCTTGTCATTGGTGCCTGAATGCTACTGGAAAACAGAGGGAGGTGAGAGAGGCAGACACACAGTGCAGAAGGCCTGTGACCTGAGTGGTCATCCTTTCCCAAACGGGCCCTTCGATAGGAGGATTGGAATGGGACTTGGAAAGCTCAAGTAAAATTGTTCTTATTTCATCAGTCACTGCTTTTCATCCTGCCTAAAGAGGAGGAATGTGAGAAATGAATTCCTGGCCTGTTTCTGTTCCAGCACAATGTTTGCCTCTGGGGTTTAGAGTTATTGAGAGAGGTGGTGGTGATTCTGCCCTTGGAGGCCAGCCAGGCGAGCTATTACCTAATCCAAAAAACGAACCTATCCAACAGGTGTAAACTGCCTTCTCCTCCTGCAGAGCCTGAGAGTGCAGCAGAGTGCAGGCTGTCCTAGGGCTTCTGTTCTTTTTTCAACTCTGTTTGCACCTCTGCATGGACTCACAGACATAGCTGGAAAAGGATTACTCGTGGTCAAAATCTTCTGCAGAAGTCACTGTAATTACCATGTTGCTCTGAAATAATTTCAGTTATGTTACCTGTAGATCTGAGAACCCACCATTTAATGCCTAGAACTCCACTCTGAATGACTTCCAAGGCTGTGCCTCATCTGGCATTTTATGCATAGTTTAATGCCTATAGAAATTCGGTTTTATTTTGTACAGCAATCCAAAAGTACTTCAGAATTGTCTGGCCACAGCTGGTATAAGATTCTGTCTTCAAACCTTTTATGAACCTTTTGGTCTTTCAGTTGCTCTGTTTTTATCCTCGGAGCAAGACACAGAAAGATGTCTTGAGACCCCTCATTTAATTACTTTATCTTCATGGCTGCTTGTATTGAACGGCCAGAATACTGGGAGTTAAAATTTTTATGTTAGTCTGGAAATGAAAAAAAGGGATTCTTGAGGCAGTGCTGGATTACTTGGGCTATGAACTTTTATTTAATGAGAGAATTCCAAAAGGAATATCAAGGTCATGATATATGGAGATGGCTATCTTTTATTGTAAATGCCTTTTTTGCTAGTTGATCTGTTACATTGGAGCAAGCAGTTCACAGAGGGTCATCTGATGGGTGTCAGCCTGTGCTCAGTGCTGGATGACTGTTTGAAGAAAAGCTTCCTGTTTTGTTCCATTAAGGTTCTGGTCTATCAGTTGTAGAATTCAGCAAGGGTGGAAATGTTTTGTAAATGGGTCTCTTATCTGGCTTGCACTTGGCTCCAGTTCAAACATCTGCCTCTGAAACTCAGTCCTTACAGTTTTTGTATAGCTCTGTGGTAAATCTAAGCCATTTTAGTGCTGCTGAGGTTTGTTTGAAAATTTTGTTCTGATGCTTGCAGTCTATAGGATTCAGGCTATTCTTACTGACAAATCTTCCTCTAATTCCCACTCTCCCAGTACTGACTTATCTAAATGTTTCTCAAAAGAAGTTCTCCCTTCTTTCATTGAATTATTTTGGCTGTATGAGATGAGGTGCCAAATCAGTAGTCTGCTCACCAAAAGGCAGAAGAGATCTTGAGTTTGTAGTAGAGAGATGGCAAACAGTTCTGTATGTGTTAATGTTATTTTATAAATCTGCGCTGCTGTCCCTTTTGAGTTTTTTTTGTCACTTTCTGTAAGCATTGGTGGTTTAGGCTTTCAGGCAAAGAAGCTTGCAGGGCTACATAAAAGGTCAGATGTTCCCAGTTGTACACAGGCTTACTTCTGACTACCCTAACGAGGCTGTCAGCCTCTGCCACATTTGCTGCAGCCCTGCCTTTGTTGCCCTCTGTAGCTCATGGAGGCTATGCTAGAGCTGCTCTCCTCCTTTAATCCTAGTCATGTCTCGGTGCCCTATCTCGGTTCCATTTTAGCTTCTCACTCTATCCATCAGGCAGGATTGTCACCCTTTCACATCCTGCTGTAAAGGCGCTAAACATGGTTACATATTTTGTAGAAGTATTTAAGATTCTCATATATAATTTTTATCACAATTTTAGTAATGTAATCTAAAGACAATATGAAAGTGATTCCTCATTATCTGGTGAAACTAATTTCCAGTCATTGAAGCCAAGATATTACTAGAACTGCTCTTGAAAAAGGATTCTCTTGAAAGCATTCCCAGTTGCTTTAATAAAGGTAAAAAATCAGTTGTTTAGGAGGACAAAGTTCATTGACTCGGAACCTAAACTAACTTTTGAGTACCTGTTGGCAATTAGTTGCATAATCTCTAGTTGTGGGGATGGTAGACATTCCTAAAAGCTTCTCACACTGGAATCTGCAGCTGATATGTCCCTTGTTTTTTGAAAAAGACAGCAGATTTCTCCTCAAAGAATAACTTGGGCTCTGCAGGTCACTTAATCTCCAAGACATGGACCAAAGCTAGTGAGAAAGAGATTTCTTTCTAACTGGTACAGATTTCTGTGTTTTCAGTGGGCACCTTGGATTCAACAGCAACCATCCTTGCTCGGGTTCATCTTTTAGAACTCATATGGGCGGTCTGGCAAGAATTCATCAGTGAAACTGTATTTTCTCAGACCTCTGTTACATTAGCTTCTTGTTCTTCTGTAACATCTTTCTCAAACCTAAAGACAAGACCAACTCCTCTAAAGTACTCAGCATATTTTTTCCTTGCATCTGACAGATTTATCTAACTTGGTTAGGGGAAGCAGGCAAGCAAGCTTCCCTGTCATCAATCAGAGGGTAGAATGGCAGTCCAAATCATACCAGACAACCTTGGGAGGGCTTCTGCAGTCAGAAACAAGGGATTCTCCTCTTCTCATTGCTTGTCAGGCCCAAAATACTTCTTAGCTCATCATTCCAGCCAAGGTGCTCAGGTTCACCAAGAAATGACATTTTGTTGGCAGGCTGTCTAATCTGGGTTAAATTTTATAAAACCAGACTTTTTCAAATTTTTTGATCTAGGGGTTTCTAACTTTAATTTGCTTTGGTGTCATTCTCAGTGGTAGTAATAGTGCCAGCTGCTCAAGGCTTCACAGGCTGTGTGCACATACCTGCTGTATGACCAGGCTCCCAAACAGGCTCTGTTTTGTGTATTTTCATTTTTATTTTTCCTTGCCTGGAATTACCAAATGGGGTGGGAAACTAGAAGATGCCAGCCAGACATTTGCCATCTTGGGCTTTCAGGAATCCCAAACACTATGTGTCGTGTCTGGAAGTTCTGGAAATACCTGATGTGTGGTAAGCCTGCAGCTTTTTGAAGGAATCAGACTTTGTGCCCATTCATAGCGTAGTTAGGCCGTTCACGTAGTAGGTGCTGCTAGGTCACGTTGTATGTATTTAATGTTCACGTACAAATGGCGCAGGAAATCCATTACCACTTAAAACGTTAGCTTCCTGTGCCTGTTCTAATAGCAAATATGTATTTATTTGTATCCCAAAAATTCTACACAGAAAAATGATTGTACACTCCACTCTTGCACACCCTAGCTCACAAACCAAGACCCCTGTGCTGCATCCCCTGACAATCTTATACCGCTTTTGCAGTCTCCCAAACCAGAATCTTCTTTTTAATCACTGGGCTGAGTAGTGGGTACTTTATATCCTCCTTCCCCACCTAATGCCTACTACTGCTTCCTGCTGGTTTCATTTACTGCTGGGGTACATGTACTGTGTTCTAAGTTTCAGATGTTCTGCTCTGGTCGTACTAAGTATATAACCTTTGGACTTGTGAGGATGTGGAAGGCTCTTTGATTGCTTTTGAGAGTTTGTTCTGTGCTGGTGTAAGTGGCTTTCTCTATTTCTACTGAAACTTTGAGTTTTGCCAGAAAGACCCCAGACAACTGTTACAGGTTAATTGTAGTCCACTGGTCTTGATCCTTTGTGTCAAAGGGGCAGCTTGCTGCATTTGACATAAAGGGAAGGTGAAAGTAGCTTCTTTGTTTCCTCAGTTTTTATTTTAAATTTTGGAGGTGTGGAGTGTAAAATAAGAAATTGGGCTTGGACCCTGACTAGACAAGCTCCGAAGAGCTATGAGAAGAGTGACACTAGAATAGCAAAGAGATGTGCTAATGTGCAAGGTGATCCTCACAATGATAGAAGGGTGGGTAGCTGATGGGGCAGTCTGGCTTTTTTGCAAAACTTGTGAGCTAGGCCAGAGTGGGCTTAGCATGGCAGAAGCAGCATGGATGTTGCAGTAGCGGCTGTGGGAAAGAGCTAACTGCATATGGGCTTGCAGCT